TTTCTTGCGGTGATGCTGCAGTAATTGTATTCTGTTTCGGATATCCTGTTATTGTTGTTAACTTAAATTTATATAATTTTTAAATTTTTCTTTAAAAATAAAATTTTATTCCGTGTTGATAACCTTTAACTTTTACCAGACTTTACTTTTATGCAATTTTGTTTTTTTTTCACTTTTTTAGTTTTATTTTCAAACTCAGTGATCGATTCAAACTCAACGACCGATTCAAAACACGAACTAGTTCAGTTAAAAGTGTTGATCTGAATGGAGCGTTCAGAGAAATTAACTAGTTTTTATAATTCTAGTGTCCATTCTGATTTGTTTTAATTGAACTTAATTAAACCACATGCCTGAAATAAATGGAACTAGGTGCTACAGTTCATTTTATGGACTTGTGCTTGGAGCTAGTTCATCCCGAAACAATATAAAACAATTTACTTTCATTTGTAAAAGGATCTCATATTCGATTTTTGCCATTAAAGGTCAGAATACATACTTTTTTGACTGGCTTAAGTTATCGGCTGGTTTCTTCGGAAAAGAACAAAGAAGCGTAGGACCAAATTCGAACTAAGTCAACCTAAAACTTTTTTGTATCTCTATGAAGAAGCCAGCCTGTCAAAAAAGGCTCTTATGTAGTCTCACCTTAAGTTCCGTAAATCTATCTTGACCTATAGGCGTGATGCTTTGTCGTTTATCTCCCTTTTTTATATGCTCCAAAGTACACAGTATGGAGGTTATATTAAGTTTGTCTTTCCGATATAATCGTTTTAAACCCAACAAAGTATACACATATTCGATCGATTGGATTCAGATGCCCCTTTGTATCTCCGTCTGTAATTACGGTAGAGTCCAAACAGCATGTGATAGGAAGCTAACATTTTGCATAAAGTTGTGATTTGTCCGCAGTCAGGCCAAGTTCAAGGATGAGCTATATTGGTCAATGTTTTTGTACAGCCCCCATATAATTGTACCTCCCGGTATTCGGAATTTTGACGATTTTAGCCACACATCCTTACGTAATAGTTTAAAAATTAGTATTTAGAGCTTATATTGTGGTCTACCTCCTGTGGTAGTACATTGTCTTCATAGATCCAGAGTTTTTCGTATAGTCCCTATATAATTGTACCTCTTGATATTCGGAATTTTGACGATATTAGCCACACTTTGTAACAGAATAAATAATAAATTTGGTATTTACAGTTTGTATTGGGATTTATCTACTGTGGCATAATATTGTCTATATAGGTCCACGTTTTCCTATGGTCTCCATATAAAGGTATCTCTCGATATTCGATATTTTGACAATTTTAGTCACACTTTTTAACGTTATAGTTTATAATTTTGTATTTAGAGTTCATAACATGTTCTACCTTCTGTGGCAGAACATTGCCTGTATATTTTCACGTTTTCGTATAGCGCCCATATGATTGTACCTTCCCATATTCAGTATTTTGATGCATTTAGGCTCAGTTTCTAGCGGAATAGCATAAAAATTCGAAAGTAAGAGTTCAAATTGGATTCTATATCCTGTAACAGAACACTGTCTATATAGGTCCACGTTTTCCTATAGCCCCCATATAAAAGTACTTTCCGATATTCGGTATTTTGACAATTTAAGCCACATTTTCTAACGGAATTTCCTAATATTGAGTTTATCGATTCCGTAATGGGTTCTTCTGCTTATGTTGCACAAAATTGAACTATATAAGTCAAAGTTGTTATATAGCCCTTATCTCCTCCCCGATATTTGGTATTTGGATGACTGAATCCCACTTTTTTAGAGAATGGTTTGCAATTTGAATTGGATGTTTCCAATAAAAGAACTGGCACATACCTCTCGAATACTGGAGTTTCGGCATTTACAGACTTATTTTTAAATTGGTTACTTTCCAAATTGTGAGGGGTAGATAAAGTTTGGCCCGGTTTGCAGTTCGGTCACTTAGTTTACTGACTATCGCAGTAATGAACGACCGTAGTATTTTGTTGTTGCAAAAGTGCCAGGCTTTATCCCTTTATTGTTGTTTTTATAAAAAAATCGTTCTCCACTAATAAACAAACGTTGTTTTTATAAAAACCACAATAAAAGGATAAAGCCTGACACTTTAGATTCCTATATTTATGTGGTGACATGAATGAGCTCAAAGCCAGCTAAAATTCCTCAAGAATGCCCTCCTCCTATGCCAAAAATATATATGCAGTGTTGAAGAGGAATTTCCAAGAGATCTTGAAAAAATCATGGAAATCGGCCTTTTTGAGTTTGAACAAGTATCATCTGCTGCTTTTAATATGTGCATTGAAAGAATTGATCTGATATCTCTCAAAAGGAGGTCATGGACCCCCAAAATATAACTCATTTTTTCGTGCGACATGTTTATGTTAAAAACAATGGGTTGGTAAGGCGATCTGTAATGGGTATTTTTGCGGGGTAGCCTCAAGTATCAGTTTAAACGATGGAATTTGAAACTTTCTACACTGCCTCTGCTGAGGAAAAGGTTCGAGTCAATGCAGTGTTTTTTGAAAATAATAATACCTTGAAAGCGGGGGTGTGGTCGTCTAAAAAAAAAACACATACATAGAAATACAAGATCAGTACGACAACAACTAAAACAGTGCTCGGCAAGAGTAGAATCTCTTCGATTTCCAACGAATTTGGCTCCCACCATAAAACGAGGAAAATAAGCTGACTCCTATTGGAGCGATAGCGAAAATTTGAGTTTGCTGTATTTTTTTATATATCAGGAGCTCTTCCGCTCGAATTCGAGTAAGTTTCACTCTTTGTTCGAGCGAGTATAAATTTTTCGCAAAATTGAATTTCAATTTAGGACCAAGTATTCCGAACAATAAGTTCACTTTTAAAGTTATAGCCATGTAGGGTGCCACAAAGAAACATTTTCCAACAAATTACATTTAATATTTTTTAATAATAAATATGAACGGTAAAGTAGCCAGCCGCAGCTACTACAGACATACACACAGACATATAAAAAATATATAATTTTTTTTTATTAAATAATTAACACTTTTTAACTGCAATCTGTCAATTTGCAACAGCATGAGTTACGACTTTTTTTTTTTGCGCTGCGATATTGAGATGCAATTTGGCCTGGCGTCCGTCCCGAATAGTCCGTGCCCATGTCTGTCCGTCTATCCGGGCGATTAGTATTGGTGATCTATGCGCCATTTGTCTGGGTGTCTGGGGTGTGTAAGCAAAGTGAGCCAGCAAAAGCGTGGCTCAGTCTGAAGACAAGGCAAGGCAAAGCATTTGATTGGAAGTCAGTTATCGCTACGATGATGATGACCACGGTGGATGGTGGTGGGACGTGTTGGGTCTTTAAGCCAAAAGTGTTTCTTTTTTTCTCTCGCTGTTGTCTTAAGACGACGATGCTTTCAATTTGTCGTCCGCCACGTTTAAGCTTAAGCAGCGTTTGTTGTCTTGTAAATCGACCATGTTCAGACGTCGTCGTCGGGTCGGTTTTTGTCGCTTGCAAATATACGTACGTGTCTATATATTGTAACAGATTTGCATATTTTATTAATAAGATTGTCAATTAAGAAGTGTTTATTGGCATGATATGACCGGCCGATCAGACGACGAGGCGGCGCGACACATTCGACCAGTCTCTCCTAAGCACGTCCAAGCCGTTTCTGTTTCAATTTGCAAATTATTATCGAACATTAGTTGTTAGTTGCAATTAATCAGTTTGTGCTAATTGGGAGGCGTTGTTTTTGTTGCGAGAGAGGGAAAAAAATAGATTTAGCAATGATTTATGGAAAACGGAACCACAGTGGTAGCCGGATAAGAGATTTTTTTAATTAAAATTGGATTCGATGAAGAAATTGTTATGAAGGTAGATTATCTACCACCAGATGGTGATTACGGTGATTTTCCTCAAAGGCTGGATTTTTAGAAGGGACCCTTTTTATACTCCTCGAAATACTCATGTCAGACCCAACAAAGTATATATATTCTTGATCAGCGTAAAATTCTAAGACGATTTAGCCATGTCCGTCTGTCTGTCTGTCTGTCTGTTGTAATCACGCTATCCTTCGAACATATTGAGATAGAAGGCTAAAATTTTGCACACATGTATATTTTGCCAGTAGGCAGGTAAGGTTCGTAAATGGGCCATGTAGGTCCAAGTTATCATATAGGCCCCATGTAACGGTATCTTCCTATATTCGGTATTTTGATGATTTTAGCAACATTATTCACCGGAATTGTTTCAAATTTGGTATTTGAAGTTCGTAATGGATACTACAGCCTAAGACTGAAAATAGTCTGTGTAGGTCCACGTCATCGTATAGCCCCCATATACCGGTACCCCCCCATAATCGGTATTTTGATGATTTTAGCGACATTATTTAACAGAATCGTTCCAATTTTGGTATTTGAAATTCGTAATAGATACTGCACCATAAAGCAGAATATAGGTCATGTAGGTCCACGTCTTCGCATAGCCCCATATAACGGTACCTCCCTATATTCGGTATTTTGATGATTTTAGCAAGATTATCCACCGGAATTGTTCCAAATTTGGTATTTGAAGTTCGTAATAGATACTGCACCATAAAACAGAATATAGGCCATGTAGGTCCACGTCTTCGTATAGCCCCCATATACCGGTACCCCCCGATATTCGGTATTTTGATGATTTTAGCTACATTATTAACAGATTTTTCTTCAAGTTTCGCATTTAAATATTGTAGTAACTTATGACAAAAGTTTCCCATGCAGGTCCACGTCATCGTATAGGCATTCGGTATTTTTAAGATTTTCACAGAATTTTTAACGAATTTTATTTTTTTTTTTTGGAAATTGCCAAATTTGTAGCAAATGGTGGAGGGTATTCGGCCCGGCCTAACTTACAGCTTCTTTACTTGTTTAGAATACGTACGTACTGCTTCCTCAAATACAAAGGGTACCATTTTTAGTACTTTTTAATACTCTTCGTACCGTACGAATTTCTAAAAACCCGAATTTCCAAACCTTCACAACTTACCCAAAATATCAGCAGATGGATCTTTTTCACAAAAATTCGGTGATCTTTGGTAGTAGAATAGAGATGTCTCTAATTTACGGGCGGATCGTTGAGCATTTTTCTCGGTATTTGATTTGGCGTTTGAGGGGCGTTCATGTCGCTCACCCGTGCGTTCACCATTTCCATTGGCATTGTTGGATTTTTTATTGCGTGAACGTTTCAGGACGACAATGGGTTCGCCATTACCCAAATTCGATTGGTCGACCAGTAAGGCTCGTCTAAATTGATGTTTGAGGACTTTGCCTACCACATGAAAATCTGGAGCTGATTTCCAGCAGGTTTTCAGCTGGCAACTGCCGGACATGCCGTGACATTTGCAACGGAATTCCATGTTGTTGGACACGGCCTGGAAAGGAAAAAAAATATATTTTTATATAGTGCTAAGCTGTTACTATGTTGTCGAACTTACAATTCTCCCGGCATGATTATTGTGCAGATTAATTTTCGATTGTATATCCCCGGCCTTTTCACGACAATCGAGAAACAGCTTGGAAAATTCCACACCAAAATCCATGTTATGCGAACAACCTCCCCATTTCCAGCGGCTGGCAATCTTGGAGCGTTCATATTTCTTCTCATCTTCCGGATTGAGAATTTGATTTGTTTCCAGATACTGTAAAAATAGTTTCTTCTCCTTGTCCAGACTTTGACGGAGATTTTTGTTAAGGGTTTTGCGATTCACCGAGGGATCACAGCCACAGGACATGAGGCGACCCTGGCTACAGGCCCGGGCCACACTATGGGCCACTCCGGCAGCTGAGATGGCAAAGGCAAATGCGCTCTCACGATAACCTGCAAAGGTAAAAAAACGAAAATGTTTTAAGAGAACCACAACATCCAATATCCATCTTGGCCTCCACTCTCAAAAGCAATGCAATTTCTTTGTTCATTGCTACCATACGCGTTCGAAACATATAAAAGGAAAATGACCTTCTGGAAAATCTCAAGAATGTGTCATTACATGCAGCCGGCCATTCATCCATCCAACAGCAAACAATGAAAGTAAACGACAGTGTCAGGCCGTAAACTTGAGCTTTTGCTACTAATCTTCTGCGGCTGGCCATAACATTTCCCATGGGAATTGTTTCACAGCATTTTTGTGGCCGGCAACACTTTGCAACAACGATTCCCTTTGAAACCAACTGGAATCGTAAAAAACACACATACATACACGTACACTCTGAGGCCAGTAATGCAGATTTTCAGTTCTGCCGGCCCCGAAACATTGACAACGATCACTGCTCTTCGTAGTCGACATATTTCAGAGCAAGTGTGACATGCCGCCGTTCATTCGTGGCTTAACGTGTCCTCCAAAGATGTCGTAGTCGTCGTCGTCGCTGTTTTCTTTAATAGTTGCAGATTTTTAATAAGATTTTGGCTCGATTGTAGTTGTTGCTGCCGTTGTTGTTATTGTTAAATTTTATGCAACAACACTCGGTAGACCTGTAAATGATTGGCATTTCACTTTTATTTTGTTACGCATTCTCGCTTTAAGGATGCCTGCCTGCCTGCCTGCCTGCCTAGCTAGCTAGCTGCCCATCCATCCATCTCTTTTATATCTTCTCGGATAATCATAGAGATTGAGGAGAACAACAATGTCAGCGTTACGAAGAACAACTAACAACTGTGTGTGTTGTATCATTTAGCTCGAAAAAAAAAAAAACATTGTCATTACAATGGGAAACTTGTTGTATAGAGGACACAGACGCAGCTGTACAGTGGGCCTAGGCAATAGCACGGCACAAAATATTGACTGAGCTACGCTTCAAAGGTGAGGAGTTGGACTCTAAGGGAGAGGGAACTATTACGAGCAAGTCATAAATTACAGAAGAAATGAATTTATAAAATAACAAGTAAAAAGCAGTAAGTTCGGCCGGGCCGAACTTTGAATAGCCTCCACCATTTCGAACGAATTTGAAAATATTCAAAAAAATGTAATCCCTTAAAAAATTGTTTTAAAATCTTAAAAATACCGAATATAGCCTTTATGATGGGGTCTGTACGAACACGTGGACCTGCATAGGCAATTTTTGTCATAAGCCATTACAATACTCAAATGCGAAGCTTGAAAAAAAAAATCGGTAAATAAAATCATCAAAATACTGAATACTGAGGGAGGTATCGTTGTATCGGGGCTATACGAAGACATGGGCCTACATAGACAATATTCTGTCACAGGCTGTAACCCCTATTAGGAACTTCAAATACGAAATTTCAAACAATTTCAAAATAAATCGTCAAAATACCGAATATATGATATATGGAGCCCATACGAAGACATGGAGCTGCATAAACAATTTCAATTTCCAAGCTTCATAAGAAGCTTACTCTCTACATTTATTTTATAGTGAAAGGGACCCGAGCTATTTCTGTTTGAATTTTAGTCGAAATGTTCGAATTAGAGTAGGAGTTCTACGACTTTACTCTCTTCGTTAGTAGAGATTGGCGAAAATACTCTTCATCATATTTATGCTTATTTGTAGCTGTGGCTTGAGGAAAAATGTGTTCATAGCAACAAAAGCAACAATATGACACCAACTGAAATAGTACTCGGCAAGAGTAGAATCCGCTCGATTTCGAGCAATTTTTATTCCCACTCAAAAACGAGCAAGACCTATTCACTCTTATTTGGGTGACATAGAAAAGTAAAGTACTGACGAACTCTCTACTCAATTATGAGTGGACATTTCCGATCTCCGTTTATACCCTCAGCCATGTGGCTACTGAGGGTATATATCCTTTGATACGGCCAAAACGTGCCTCATTGAAATTAGGGTTTTAGACCCTAGGTCCTATTGGACCAAATCCGTTCAGGACATTTGGAGTTGATCCAGGGGTGTTCTTCCCTTTCTCTGTCTGGCTGTGTGGAGCGCACGATAACTTTCGAAGGGAATATCCGATTTGGTCCAAACTTGGTATATCGTAATCTTATTTTCAAAATTAGATCGAGTTCGGAGATGGGCAACATTGGCCCACTCATTCCACTATCTCCCCCATAAAATTGTCAATTTTTTTTAAAGAAAATGATTTACCTCATAAAAACAGAAATGATCATTCGATTCGATCGATTTGATCAAAAAATGCGAATACGAAAATTGTTGTCAATGCTAGATCAGGTGCAGAAATGGACAATATCGACCCATCCCTTTTAAGTACCTTCCCACAAAGGGTCAAAATTTTGAATTATTATAACTCTTATAAAATGTGATATAAGAGTCCGATTGTCTTCAAATCACACACATCACAATATTTTTATTAACCCAAGGTCTGATATAGAGATGGAATATATCGGTCCACTCCTTCTTGTACCTCCCCCACAAAGGGTCAACATTTTGAATATCCATGAAACTTTTAAAACGCGAAATTAACATCTGATTCTATCCAGATTTGACACATCTCAATATTTCTATCAACACCATATCTGTTAAAAAGATAGTAATGCTCGGACTATTCCTTCTGGTACCTCCCCCACAAAGGATCAACGTATTGAATAACCAAAACGATCATAAAGTCCGAAATAAGCATCCGGTTCTTTTCATATTTCACACATCCCATTATTTCTTCTAACACAAGGTCTGCTGTGAAGATGGGATATATCGGTTCACTCCTTCTGGTACCTCCCCCATAAGGGGTCAAAATTTTGAATATTCCTAAAGTTCATAAAGTGCGAAATTAAAATCCGATTCTATTTAGACTTTGTACACCTCAATATTTCCATCAACACAAGATCTTTTATATTGATGGTAGAGATCGGGCCATTTCTTCTGGTACCTCAACCACACAGGGTTCAAGATTTTTTGAAAAACAAAACGCTCAAAGAAAGCGGAACAAATTTCATCTCTCGTCAAATTTCACGCACACACAAACACAAGATCTGTTTTGAAGATGATATATATCTGCAAACCCCTTCTGGTACCTCACCCACAAAGGGTTACCATTTTCAATACTATTATCTTCATAATTTGGGAAATAAGTCAGCGATTCTTTACAATTTGTTATATCTAAGTATTTCTCTCAACCAGAAACCTGAGATGAATATGGAATTTATGATTTCGCATAAATTTGGATATAAATGTCTGTAATTATCTGTATTGGATGAAGTATGAAAATGGAATACTTCGATCGACTATATCTGGTAATTCACGCATATTTTGAGATTTTCTCAAAATTATCACATATCTCATATAAAGTGAAGGAAGTAGCCAATATAGTCCAAAACTGGCACGTCACAATATTTATATCATATTTATTTAGGTCCGACACGAATTGGACAATATTGGCCCATTCCTTCGGAACCTAACTCCATAGAGGGTCAACAATTTGAATAATCACAACAGAAGTAAAAAAATATAAATAATCGAACACTGGCAGAGGGTATAAATCTGTCGGCAAAACCGACTGATACTCTTTAACTTATTTTTATAAGATTTTTATAATTTTATGTTATGTTCTAATAATTTTTGGAAATTTATTAATAATTTCACTTTTCTATATTTTTACAGAAATGTTTCTCGTCTTTCTCTTGTGCCTTCCAAGGACATATTGATATCATGTTTGTCTGTCGGTGTGTTTTGATTTTCGAAACAAGAATCTCAGGTAAGTCACAATTTTATTCCATTATCCACCCACTGTATTCGAATTATAATCCAAATAATTGTTGCTATGCTGCCTGAAAATATTTGTGGTTAAGAAGCTGTGTGATGAATTCTTCTCTACCAACTGAGATTATCTGGAAAATTTGTCTACATATTTGTTTCTAGCTTCGACCGAGAAGACTAATTAAAAATGTGTTATTTAGTTATCTTTGCCATGGTTGCCGTAACTAAAAAAAGAGATTGATGATTACGCTGGGATCATTTGAAACAGGAACGTAGATTTTTCCCCTCATTATGTTTCAATAATAACTGTGTTTCGATAAAAAAAAAGTTAAACGTTTGTTCTTCAGTGAAATATTCTCCACTTCTAATATGAGCTACGGTCATGTTACCCTCATTCAAGAAAACCCCTTTTTTGTTGTTGTTGTTGTTAGCTTGCAAAATAATTCAAGAATAAAAACCCCGAGTCTGTTCTCTCTGCACTCCAGCTGGTATCTACGACAGCATTTAGCCATTTTCATTCCCATTTTAATTGTTCATTTGTCACTCAAATCACTTGCTAAGTGATACTGTCAAAGTCCTCTTTGGCGTGGTGGAATAGAGAAGACTCCGATTATTTTGGAAGAATCCTCGATGTTTGATATTAGCTTATTTTACGGCCAAATAAAAATTCCTTTTGGGTTAGCAAATATGTTCGAATTAGGAGAGACCCTAAGAATAGTCCCAGAATAATGGTGATCTGTAAGTATAACGTAAGTATAACGCTATTTGTAGCATTATTTTGATATTTTCAAAATGTAGGGATTAACATTTTCAAAAAAAAAAATAAAAAAAAAAACAAAAAAAAAAATTACTGTAAATTTCCTATGTTCGGATTATACACCCCCAGCTTGAGTATATTCTGGGATATTTATTGGGAGTGGTTCCAACTATTTCCAGTTATATTGTATTATACCCTCCACCATAGCAGGGAGGGTATATTAAGTTTGTCATTCCGTTTGTAACACCTCGAAATATACATTTTATACCCCACAAAGTATACATATTCTTGATCAGCACAAAATTCAATGTCGGTTTATTGAGGTCCGTCCGTCTCTCCGTCTTTGGAAACCACTTTAGCTTCCGAACGAAATAAAGTAGGTTGATATAATTTTACTCAAATGTATGTTATGTCTGCAGGACTTTTGGTATTGAAAA